AGGATAAGCCACAATAACTCTTCAATTAAGGCAAAATTCCAAATCTTGAGCTAAACAATGCAGATGTTGAGAAATATTAACAAAATACTGAATTACGATTTAAAATTAGAATTAAACATGTTTGGGAGGTTAATTTTGCTGATTGCTAAAAATATTTGTAGGATGGATTTTGTTTACCCTTTCATACAACATATTCTTGAAGAAGATAATGAATATTATGAAAAAAAAAGGAAAATAGATTTGGCTACGACTATATAATGCGTGAGGTAGATGTGTTAGAATTATATGCAAAAACTACAACTGAAGGAAAGTAAAAACATGTAAAGCAAATTCAAAATGGCAATCATCATTCAAACACATTTTTGTATTTTCTTTTTCGTATGTGTTATATTTATTTGAAAGATTTTGCAAATTAACAGAATTTCAAGTTTTTCATTGAATTTCTATGGTGCTTCCCCATAGTAATTAAAATTTTAAATCGAGTTTTATCCAATTTTGATAGTGATCATTATGGGTTTCTAACTATTTCTTCTAAATAAATATTGCAATGTCACACAAACTGCAAAGATTATATATATATACTAGTGGGGCGGTTTATCGGGAATAGGTGGTGGGACATGACTTATAAATGAATTAGGTCCTTCACCACTGATTTCACCAAATGGCTCGCCCCTAGATAGAGCTGATATATTTATTGACTTACATTTAAAAAGCTTGTTAGTAATTTTCAAGCGGTGGCTGGTATTAGGATCCTTAAAATATCCGAATAAGAAGGCCCTTATTCTTTTAAATGGTGAGGGCCAGGTAATTAGACTTTGGTTACTCAAGATGTCTTCCGAATGGTGTGAATATGGGCGCAGATCTGCGCAGGGAAGAGGTCCGTCGAGGTGGCGATCGTTACATTTGTAGAATTTGAATTTTTGAACTTTTCAGGGCTTTGTCACTGACGACATGTTATATCGTTTTTCGGCGGCATTTCCTTGATATTCTTTGAATAGGAGCCTGGTCTCCAGTTGAGTTTCGCAGCTATTTGGCTGAAATTCCTCGGCCTTCGCCGACGATTCCGACTTTGTGCGAGGGAGAGATTAAGGCATGGGCGAGGTCTTTGCGGCTTTGAAAAAGGTCGGCAGAGGCAAGTCGCCCGGTCTGGATGGTCTGCCCTATGAAGTGTACTTGAGGCTGTCGACCATCTTTTGTCCTTGCGATTTTGACGGTCGTGTTCAACAAAATGGTTTTTTCAGGGTCCATCCCCGACCGGTTCTCCAGGGTGAGATCTGCAAAGCTTTTGAAAATTATCAGGGGTTTCGGGGGAAATTAGACGACTTTTCTTTTTAACTTTGTCTTCTAAACACAGATATTAAAGATTATGAGTTTATCCTGCAGGAGCGTCAGTTAAAAAATTGACGAGTCTCTGTTGGGTCCTAAAAAGACCTTTGCTGTGAGGGGCCGAACAATAATCATCAAAGCAACCTTTCATTTGATCCGCACGATTATAGAGGGTTTAAAGAAAATATTTAGCCGCGCTGAAATCAATTTGGATCAGTCCAAGGCATTTTTTTAGGGTTGACCATCGCTAATCTCGCTGCTGTCCTTGTCAAACCCGCCATCTGATTATATGCCCATTTCAGAAAGAGGATTAGAGAGAAATATCGCTCCCCCAGCGCTGTGGTACAGGTGAACGGAGGGAGAAATCGGGCGCTTTTGCGCTGTCTAAGAATAGTTCGTCAAGGTTGCCCGCTGTCGCCCCTACAGAATACAGACAGGCGTTGGGGCCTCTCCTTCGCCGGCTGAGGGACGGGCGTGAAGGCTGGCCCTACGCGGAAATCGCCGTTTGGCGGGGCTCGAGCCAGGTTGTTTAGCGTGATATACAAGATGACGAAATGAATTTTGAATTTCCCGCAGAATTTCATCAGGGCAGTACAGAAGGCGTTCCATCGGTAATTTTTAAAAATATTAATTTATGGGCCAAGATTAACCGCGAAAAGTCGTCCGGCTTGCGGCAATGCGCTTTGAAGGGTCGATCTTCCGGGGCCCTTCGGTTTGGACGGACGGTCCTGTCCGCATTCTCGGAATGTGGTTTGGACCCGACCTCTCCAAATGGAGAAGAATTGGTCTGAAGTATAAAAGGTCGACGCTGCCGGTCAGATTTTGGGGTCGACGAAGGTTGTCCGTGAAGAGGCAATTAACAATGTTAAACAACATGCATTTTAAATTGTCCTTTATCGATTGTCCGTAATTAAACTTAATATGACGACCACAAAACCACTTTTCAGAGCTCGCTGACCATTCTGTGGAGGACACGCGGGAATCGGTTTTCAGAGAAGTTTGAATAAAAAACGTCCGTGTCACTGGGGGGCTGAGAATGCCACACTTGCTGAGTCACAAACATGCCTCGAGGTTGGCTTTCCATACGCCGCGCATTGACAAGAATATTCGGTCATGGCGGGGGTTGTTAGGGACGTCTTCCCAAATAGAACTATCAGTCCCCCATCTCGCGGGCCGAGCGCCATTGAGATAGGCCCCGGAGGAATCGGTTTTCGTTCACGAGTGTCGGTTGGCCTTGCTGGCCGTCCCTCGGTCCAGTGACCTTTCTCGGCCTAGGAAGGTATTTATCGTTCGCTAGTGGAGGGGTTCGCGAAGGATCCCCTACGCAAGGATCTCGACATGTCGGAGGATGAGCTTCGCTCTCACTGGTCTTGGGCGCCAGCGGCTGATTACCTCAGTAACCCTGAGTTTTCGCTTACCTGGCGACTGGCTCGGAATCGGCTGCCTCTCAACGACAGGGCCTTCATATGGGGCTTGGCGGATTTGCCAGACTGCGATCGGTGTGGCCTTGGTCTGAAGGAAACGTCTTCGCACGCCTTCTTCCATTGCCCCCGGGTCCGCCCCTTATGGGACCATGTCGGCGAGCTGACGGCTCGTCTCGCTCCCGAAAAGCTTGTGCCCATGGATCGCGCATACGCGTGTGACAATGTGTCGCCCCCGTATTCCGGAGTGAAACGGATGGTGTTTCTCACGCTGCTAGCCACGGCCCGAATGGTGATATGGACGATGCGACAGGAGGAAGTCTTGCGAGGTATCCGTCTTTCTCATCAGGATCTGAACCGATTCTTTGAGCATCAGCTCAAGATGAAGATCAGAACTGATAGAAAACGCTTGCATTCGACAGTCTTCAGCGAAAGGTGGGTGACTCAGGCGAGCTTGGTTCGTGTGAACGGGGCTATCCTTTTTTTTCTGTTTTAGGTCAAGTTTACGTCACATCGGGGTGGCTTCCTGTGGTGCCCCCCCTTGGTTAGGTTAGACAAGCTTTTAGTGTACCTAGTTAATGCGAGTAAGTGTTGCTCCCGGCCTGCCCCCCGGCCACATCTTTTAGTTATGATCCAGCCTGAGATTCCCAACCTCCCCAGTTTTTTTTTTGGCCCCCACTTTCTATCTCGACTGGGTCAGCTTTATACCTCCCCATGCCCGTATGATTTTTTTATTACCTTTCCCACTCCCTTAGCGAGAGAGCTGCTTGATTTTGTTCTAATGGGCAGAATACAGTGGTCTCTGCCTTTTGAGGGTTGGACGGGCCCCTACTAACATCAGTTAACGTTTAATTTCATTTATGTTAATTTTTTTTTTTTTTTAGTTCGTTATTGGGTTCATCTCCCCCCCTCACTTTTTCATCTTAGAATTTTTGTACATATGTGTTAGGATCATTAAATTATTATGACACGGGGGGCGTTTTGTAGGTCTCCCTAGAGTGGATGTGGTATTATGGTGCATAGAGTATCGATTGGCGACGGACGAGTTCTTATGGTGAATGAGTAAATTGTAATGTCTGAATGGGTCGTGAATCAAATTAGTTAGGTATAAGATAGTTAGTGAAGACCTTTTTGGCCTTGTGCCAGAATTTTGTATTTTTACGAAATAAATCCCGCTATGGCTTCTCGGTCTTTTGACTAAGATCAAAGTGTAGTATCTGTTCTTATCAGCTTAATATCTGATATGTCCCCGAAGTGGGACTTCGATATTAAACTGATTTTTGGAACACGGCGAAGAGTCAGGGGCTTGCTCCGCCTTTGCCATGGGTTGGCCTGGTATTACAGTGCCTCCAGGAGTCAGCCCAGTCTCCCTAATAGGGGAGACAAATAAAAACGAATCCAAAAATCTGACCATCTGAGCCCTTGCCTCCCAAATAGGCAATTTGCGACCTCCAGCTGCCTCCCCAAGAGGCAACCACCGACCAACAGCCGCCTCCAAAAGAGGCATCCTGTGATCCCCAGCCGCCTTCCAAGGTGGCAGCCTGCGAATCCCAGCCGCCTCCCAAGGAGGCATCTTGCACGGGCCAGCTGCCACCCAAAGAGGCAGCGAAAAGGACTGTGGCCGAGGCACTACCCTCCAAATGGAAGTCCCCGCCTGTTCCAGGCTTCAACCTCAAGGATTTCCTTGAGAGGGCCGATGGGTACACCCATCTCCTGAAAGGCGGGCTGACCCTTGATCCAGAGGATGTAGAGAGGTTCGCCAAGAGGACAATGTCCATCTTCGTGGTCGACAAATCTACCCGGAGGATTTGTCGATCCACGAAACACATTGTTTTTAAGTCATTGACGTCTCTGGGGTTTGCGCCCCAGCAGATTGTTCGTGGAACGAAAGCGTTTATGTGGGACGTGCTGCTACCCTCGTCAGAAGATTGCGTCGCTATGATTAACAGAGACCTTATAACAAAGGATCTTATCCTTCGTACAGAGTACAGGGGCATGAGACGGACCAGGGTTTCTGTCTACGAGGTTCCCGCCCAAGTGAAAGGAGAGGCGCTGGCTGCCTATTTTAAGCAGTTCGGACAAATCCTTAGCGTCTCCTCGGATGTCAGGATCGGTTCATGGAGCTTCGATATTATGCTGGGCGAATAGGCCTTTGGCGACATTCCCAGCATGTTGGATATCGATAAAAGAATGCTGCCCGTCATTGTAACAGGCAGGAGACCGACATGCTGGAAATGTGGCAAACCCGGCCATATGGCCTCTGCTTGCGCAGGGGTTCTCACCCTGGACAGACAGCCGGATCCCAAGAAATGCGCACCTGGGACGTCTCTATTGCCCAATCCTAAGGCCTCTGTTCCCGCCGCCCCCTTAACCACGTCTGGCGAAGGGGATTGGAAGGTTGTTGGCAAGGGGAAGAGGAAAGCGAGTCCGAACACGCAGCAGAGCGGCGACGTCTCCACACCCGACGGCAGTGGGGGTGATGCCTCGGCCCCAGCTCCCAGGACGGATCATTCGCCGTCCACTAAGATCCAGCGCGTCAAGGAGGTGATGGCTGACTTAGAGAAGCAGCTGGCCCAACCAGAACCAACACCACGACCAACACCGAGAAAATCAATACCACGACCAACACCGAGACAATCGACACCACCACCATCACCGAGACCAACATCAGCAAGACCACCATCACCATCACCATCACCAAAGACTGTTAGCCCCCCATCCTCTGCCCCACCTTCCCCGACCAAAGCAAAGACTCTGCCACCGCCTCCAAGAGCCCACTCGACATCCCCCCCAAAAGAGGGCCACAACTCCGGTGCACAAGGGGGAAACTCCTACAAAAAAAGACTTTGCTACACCGGGGAAGAGACTGAGAAGCCCCTCGGAGGATGTCGACGGAAAGAGGCGGAAGGCGAAGCTCTTGTACAACACGGGGAAGAACGTCTGCCGTGTGACCGCCGATAGCGCACAGAAGGCCAAAGAGTTTGGCAGGAGGACAAGTGACCTGAAGGCTCTCCTGGCCGTGAAGAAATGCGGTGAGGATGATCTGGAGGATCCAGTGAACTTTCCACAGGCCAAAATGGTCCTCACCGTAGTTCGAATCGGTACGGGATCACGACAGGTGTGGGGCATGATAGAGGAGGCCAAAAAAGACTTCCAGGATTCTACACCCATCATGATTACAGACAATGAGGACCTTTCCAAATTGAAACAATTCTGTACTGGAAGGGTCCCGGTTTTGGTCCACCCATCCTTCTATAGGGCCTTAAAATTAACCTTTCCCTGGGATGTCGGTGGTATATCCCAAGACGTCTCCATCAAAACTGAGATGGGCACCGGATCGATGGTAGAAGCAGTCGGCATCCCCACCTAGACTATGTTTCGGGGCGAGGCTCAACCCTAAGATAAGTGTCTTTCATGGCTCTTTGGTAAACAACTTTGAATGGCCGAGGCCTGAGGTCGGAGTCTCGTAGGGCGAGACTCACGCGAGCTTCAGCGCCTCGTCGTGAATGTGTGTTGTGTGCAAGAAACCCATCTTATTGCCAGCGACTATGAAGATGTGCTGTCGAAGAGGTTCCACCTCTACTCGGCGTATTTTGATAACCGCTCCAGAGGGATCTCTTGGCTAGTCAGCAGGGCCTTGACGGCGACGTGTAACCTTGTGTACGCTGACCCGGAGGGCAGGCTTTGCGTCCTGGATGTCACCATAAAGGGGAAGTCTCTTCGCTTCATCGGGGTTTATGCGCCCAACGAGGAGGCGGAGCGGGCTGTCTTTTTTCGGCGGGTCGAGCCGTTTTTGATGACGTCTCGCCACGTAGTTTTAGCGGGTGATTGGAACGTCGTCCTTGATTCCGAATTAGACCGTAGCGGGCCTAGATCGGGTAATAACAACGCGGTTGTCAAACCATTTCGCGAATTTATCGACAGTTTTGACTTAGTCGATAAGTTTAGAAATGAGCATCCTAACAAGGCAACATGGACTTGGACCAATAGGGGCGGCCCGGATACAGTAGTTCGTTCGAGCTATATCGACCGAGTTTTAGTAAGGAGAGTCGACGTAGGGCTCTTAGGGTGTCCAAGTTTTCATTCGATAGTTTTCTGGGACCATCGGCTTGTCCGGGTACGAGTAAACTTAGATAAACCTAAGCCTAGATTGAATGGTTACTGGAAGTTCAACACGTCTCTACTGGAGTCGAAAGACTTCCGTGACCAGTTACTACTAACCATACAGAAAGAAATGACGGGGAGTGTGGTTGGGAATAAGTGGTGGAGCCATCTTAAGACTGTCATTAGGTCGTTTGCAGCTGATTATAGCCGTCGGCTCAACAGAGATAGATTAGCAGCGCAAATGGCAGCCGAAGCTAGATTAGAGGGTGCCATCCAATCGGGAGATAGCGTAGAGGTTTCTGCAGCTGGCCTGCTCGCTTATCAAGAAGGACCAAGCTCTGGTAGTAAGGTCTAGGCTAAAGAAAATGTCTGCCGAGGCGACGAACATGGCCGCTGAACTGCGGCATGAGGAGTTGCGCAGCGCTTCAGATCGATATTTCCCCAGTGTCACAGCACCGGACGGACGACAAGCGACTACAAACGAAGGCATCTGCGAGGCCTTCCGGTCTTATTTTCGGGACCTCTTCTCCAGAGAACCCGGACTGGGCTCAGCTCAGTTCGACACTTATCTGGCCGACTTTCCTCGTCTCGAGGAGGTCGAAGCGGATGTGTGTGAGGGGGCCATCACGGAAGAGGAAGTCTGGGATGCGCTTAAATTGGCCGGCCGGGACAAGACCCCATGAATAGATGCACTTCCCTACGAGCTGTACTTGAGGCTGTCGCCCGTTTTTGTACCCCTGCTGACACTGATGTTTAACCACTGGCTGAGGAATGGGAATATACCCCAACGCTTCACCAGGGGTGTCATCAAGTTGTTACGCAAAAACAAAAGCGGAGGGGATGGGATAGATAATTTCCGCCCCTTGACTATGCTAAATGCAGATCTCAAGGTTTTGGCGAGGGTCTTGGCCAACCGTCTGCAGCTTGTCCTGCCTAGTCTGATTGGCCCCGAACAGACTTGTGCTGTGAAGGGCAGGACTATTCAGGACAACCTTCATATGATACGCCAGATCATAGAAAAAGTCGACAGAGAAGCCGCGCTGATCAATTTGGATCAGTCCAAGGCATTCGATAGGGTGGACCATCATTTCCTCGACGCTGTTCTCGTGTTTGCTGGCTTTGGGCCGCATTTTCGCTCCTGGATCCGGCTTTTGTACAAGTCTCCTGGGGCTCTGGTCGAGGTAAACGGGGTGAGGTCGGAGCCTTTCACATTGTCTCGCTCCATTCGTCAAGGTTGTCCACTATCGCCCAAGCTTTACGCTCTTGCGGTGGCGCCCTTCCTACGCAAGTTAAAGGCGAAACCGGTTCTTCGCGGAAGCTCGGTGCCTGGCGCCACCAACGCTGCCAGGTATTCTGCCTATGCCGATGATGTGTCGGTGTTTGTTAAGAGCGCTGACGAAATTCGCGAGGTCGGCAAAAAGATTTGCAGGTATGAGACGGTGGCGGGGGCCAAGATCAACCGCGATAAGTCTGTCGGCTTGCGGTTGGGAGGGTGTTTCTCTCCCCGGTCCCTTCAGCTGGACGGACGGGCCTGTCAAGATACTCGGTATCTGGTTCGGGCCCGGACTTCAGCTGGACATCAACTGGTCGGAGGTTCTGAAGAGGGTCGAGGAAGCAGTCCGCCTGTGGACTCGAAGGAATCTTTCCTTGAAGGGGAGGGCGGAAGTGTGCATCTCGCACATCTACCCGATTCTTCTTTACCGTCTCTCTGTTCTTCCACTCCTGTGTACCGAACGACAAAAGTTCGTTGATGCCCTTTTCGATTTCCTTTGGAGAGAAAATTCGCATCTGGTACGTCGCGAGGTCTGCTCCCTCGATCCTGCAGAAGGCGGTCTAGGCATGCCCAGCGTTGAGAATCGTCAACACATGCTGCGTCTGGGTTTCCTGCAAAGGATGTGCACCGAAAGTGGGGATGACGAGGAGGACGTTTTCTGGAAGGAAGACGCTCGCCGAGCCTTCCCATCTCTGGAAAGTGTGCATACGGGAGAGGCGGAGGCAAAGACGATTGCCCTTTCTATGAGGAATGTCGAAATGCGCTGTGCAAACTCTTAGAGGTGAAGGATCGCCTCTCCGACACAGGGGCGTTGTCTCAGAAGGCATTATATCGGGTTCTCATGAGGGTAGAGGCAAAAGACAAACTTCAGGACGAGCTCGGCCTTACGAACGAGAAGTTTCGCTCCGTATAGCCATGGGCGCCCGGGTTGAAATATCTCAACGACGAGGCATCACTCACCTGGCAGGTGTTGCAAGGGGCTCTCTGGGTTGGCATAAGGCTTTATGCAGCGGGACTGGTGGCAACACCAACGTGCGTGCGCTGCGGTGAGTGGGAGGAGTCCATTGTTCACGCCTTCCTTCACTGTAGTGTCGTAATCCCGCTGTGTAGGCTGATTGAAGGCTACATGGTTCGCATCTTGGGCGGGAAGTTCTTCTTCCTTGATGCCAGCACAGTTTGTTCCAACATGCTGCCGCCAGTAACAAAGGACCAGCAGTATGTAATCTTGTGTTTGCTTGGCATCATGCGAATGGTTGTGTGGACGACACGACCGAAGGTTTTTCACGGAGGCGAGAAGTTCTCTTCTTCTCAACTGGTCGCTTTCTTTAAGCATCAACGTCTCTCCTCGCTGAAATTCGGCAAATGTTGGGTGAGAGTTTCGCAATTGGTGCGTGTGAGAGGACCTCACCTTGAGTGGTTGTTAGACGCGACTTAGGTCAAAGAATATTGGGCCACGCGTCGAAACGTCAGTCAACCCAGACCCGGTTAACGTAAGATAGGCTTTTGACAGATTTTGTCAGAACTAGCTAGAGTATGCATGTGTTTAGGTTCCCCTTTTGGTCCCACATGTATTTCATGCCCCATCCCTTCCCTCCTCACTAGGTGATAGACTTTCTTGTTCTCTGGCGAGATCAGATATGAACAATATCTGATATTACTGCCCAGTTAACCAGGCTTTCTGCCATATTTTCACCTTTGGGCGGGACCCGATACTGACAACTATTTATTTTTCAGGTTTCATTCATTCTACATATCCATTGTATCCCCCGCCCAGCTTCTGTGTAAATAAAATTTTCATGCTAGGATTCTAGTGGAATAATTGAGGTATTTTGGTAATTGTGGTGCGAGAGATTAGTGCAAATGTGGTATTATGGGGAAAGGTCTATTGTCAGTACGAATGGGTCAATGAGAGCGGCTAGCTAGTTACGAATTAAGACTAGAGATGACCAAACTCTTTCCCCTCCACCCCCAAAATTCGCCCTTGTGGCACATTTTGTAATTTTTACAAATAAATATTAAGATCAAAGTGTAGTATCTGTTCTTATCAGCTTAATATCTGATACGTCCCCGAAGTGGGACTTCGATATTAAACTGATTTTTGGAACATGGCGAAGAGTCAGGGGCTTGCTCCGCCTTTGCCACGGGTTGGCCTGGTATTGCAGTGCCTCCAGGAATCAGCCCAGTCTCCCTATTAGGGGAGACAAATAAAAACAATTCTAAAAGTAGACCTCCTGCTCACTCTCACAAGATCTTGCCCATTTATTGGCATCCCGGTTTCACGGAAAATAAAAATTATTCCCTTCGGGTCAGCTTGTTGACTTCCTTTCATTTTTTTTTTTTTTTTTTTTTTTGTTGCTGCTCGTTGTCGTCTTCATTATAATCGTCCTCGTATTGCAGTGCCCCCTGTCAGAGGAGAAACACGACTATATGGGCCCCAAAACAGAGGAAAAAATGTGCTTGCTTCTTATCCCGCTCACTATCGTAGGTTAGCGACTTCTTGCCGCGGTGTTGGTCCATTGCTGCTGGATGGTGAGTAAATGGAGCTTCCTTTCAAGGTCCCGTCTCTTCCCTGACATTCTGCAACCGGGTCGGCAGGGGTGAGCGGTCATTCCTGTTGCTGCTACGCTTGGACTCTTTTTTTTTTTTTTTTCGTCTTCGTGATTGCCACAGTAATGTTCGAGTACCTGAAGTCATTCCCTACTATTTGTAGGGCTCTGTGGAGGGGGGCAATCCCCCCCTCTCTCTCTCTCTCTCCCACAACAAAGAAGGCGCATTTAAACTGATCCGCGGGGAAGGCAGCAGAGGACTATGTATCCACCTGCATCGGGCGGGTTGGGTGCCCACTTCTCGGCCACTCCTTTGCCCCGTCGATGTGGCCCGGTGCCTGGCTCCACTCGCGCAGCCTCTTTTCCCGTACTAGTTATCGCTTCTCGGCCTTTTGGCTAAGATCAAAGGTGTGCGGGTGGAGGGGGGCAATCCATCTTTCTCTCCCCCCCCACAACAAAGGAGCATTTAATCTGATCCGCGGGGATGCCAGCGCAGGAGTAAATATCCACCTGCATCGGGCTGAATAATAAAAATTATTCCCTTCGGGTCAGCTTGTTGTTGTTGCTCGTTGTCCTTGTCGTCTTCATCATCATCGTCCTCGTATTGCAGTCCCCCATTAAGACTAAGCGCGAAGAATCAACCAGGAACGGCCCCAACTGACGGAAAAAGTCGACGCGCTCACTCTGGTCATTGGGCGCATACACCGCAACAACCCGAAACGCACCGCTTCTCACGGCAATATCAGCCACGATCACCCCCCCCCCGCGCGCCCACATGAACAAGGTCTACCCTCGCCCCCGGGGAACGTTTAACCAACAAGGAAACACCTCTGGTCTGCTGGTCCCCATATGCTGAATAGACGACAAAGTCGCTAGACAGCACACGAGCATCAGTCTCGCAAACAAAGTGTGTCTCCTGGATCACAGCCACATCCACTCGGAAGGACCTGAAATCACAGAGCAGGCGGGCCGCCTTACCCCGATCTCTCAGGCCCCTCACATTCAAACTGGCTAGCTTAATAGACATGATTTAAGCCTAATTCCCTTCGACACAGTCTAGCCGGAAATCTACGGGTGTCAAGACCCCGACGGATTGTCCCAGACTCCCGGTACCTACATCGGACGTAATTATCCTTCTGTGACAATACCGCCAACGTCTGTGGGGAAAGTTAATTTTACCACCCTATATGGTGAGGGATGGAGAAGAACTGGGGCCCTCGCTGCACAATACTGCGCCAATTTTTTAAGCTTCGGTGTTTCCGTCTGAAGCATCCTGAGTTTTGGAAACACATCTTTTGCTTCCGCCAGATAGTCCCAGACTTTAAGTTTACCCCCAGTATTCCTGATCAATGTAATAACACCGGGGGCGCCAGGAAAGTTCCTTGGATACTCTGTTGATTTGCCATCAACAGAGGTGCACTTGAAAAGAGGCCTCAAGAGCGCCTTCCTCTGGGAGGAAAGGTCCCTCTCGAGACGCTCGCGGTCCACCACACAAATTTTCTCCCCTCTAGACCAATGCCTCTTCTTTTTGTCTTTGGATTGGTTGGGGGAAGGAGAGGGGGAAGACGGAACCCTAGTAGGGGAAGAGTGTTGGCTTCTCGTCTTACCTTGTTGACGATCTTTTCCCGTTCTGTCTGGTGATGCCGTCGCGGAAAATACCTTCTCAGCCTTACTCCGACTTGCTCTCCTTTCCTTCTTTGTATTATTTATAAAGTCCTCTTCCTCCTCTTCGTCCTCACCCCTTCCTCTCTTCAATGACGAAGATCTAGGTGGAGGCACCTCCTCCACCACCATACCTGGGTCCACTTGTTCCGGTTGGACCTCTTTCTCTGCTGCTGTTGCTGCTCCAGTTCCTGCTGCGCCGGTTGCCGCTGCTGCTCGTGCTGCTGGTCTCACTGCTGATCCCGCAAATTCTGTCGCTTCTCCCGTTGCTGCTGCTGCTGCTTCAGCTGCTTTTGTTTAGCATCCGACTTCTGCTGATGTTGTTTGACGGCCACCCGTTCCTGCTGTTGTTTTTCTCGCTCCTTATCCGTGACGTCCTGCAGTTGTTTCGTAGCCGCCTGCTCCTGCTGCTTCTTTGTATCAGCGTTCTGTTCCTGCTGCTGGATGACTGCAGCCTTCTCCGGGAGCTCCTGCTGCTGCTGGAGATGTGAGGTTGCCACTTTTGCTCTCCTCCTCACCACTTCCGTCCATTTGCTACCGGAAGCTTTCTTCGTTGATTCTTCTCTGGGCACCTCTGATGTTGATACTGGTGCCTGCTTCGTCCACGGTGCTGGCTTCTTGGTTGGACACGTCTTGGCCAGGTGTCCAGCCGCACCACAAACCCAACAGAAGGGCCGGCGACCCTCAACCACCACAAAAATGCTTCGGTTACATCCTTAAAGCTTTGGCGGTTCAATGTCACCATGACCTTCATATCACTGGTGGCAATCCCCGCCTTACTCCTGATGGACGATACCCCCTCCACAGGGCCGTAGACCTTCGGTAATGTACATGGGCACATCGTGTAAGATAATCTTTGCTTTCCGAGTGCCCATGTACTCCGTTTGCAGCCTCATCATTTTCGTGGTGAGGGTGCATCCGGCCAGCGCCTTTGCAGCTTCCTCCGTTGCCAACAAAATGTCCCAGCAAGCGTTTGATCTGCCGCCAAGACCTTGGCCCCGATGTTCAAAGCCTTTAGGACTTCTTCCATCGGCTCCCTATCGACCGGTATGAATTTCCTGGTCTTAATATCGACCGTCAATAGGGAGATTGTTCTTGTTACCACAGTCTCCATGACCGAAGGCATTGGTACAAGTTCATCTTTCGCAATGAACTCCTTCAACTCTTCGCGACGACTCCTGTAATAGTCTGGCCCTTTTTTCGGCCTTTCCGGCACCCAAGCAGATGGTGCAGTAGATGTACTGGCCAAAGGCTCTTTTTCCTGGGTCACCTCTGTGGGAGGGTATTCCCCACAAAAACAAACAGTTCCAACAATAAAAAAGAAACGACAATGTCCGACTTACTTTGAATCTGGTAGTTCCACGCACAAAACGTCTACTGGCGTACGCCACAAAACAACAAGTACTAGTAAATGCCTAGAAGAGCAGTGGTCCCCCACAACCACTCACCTGGTTTTTAACAGGTAACATTGTTCTCTTATGCAAAAAACCCTGCTGTATAAAAATGGCAGTAGGAGTACGCACGCGCGACCGACTCTCAGAGAATGGTTCGACACGCAAGGAAGCGAATTCGTTTTGCTCCTGGTAAGTCACTGTCACGTCTATTACATATATATATATATATATATATATATATATATATATATATATATATATATAGTATATGTATATATATATATATATATATATATATATATATATATATATATATATATTATGTGTGTAGGTGTTTTTATATATATATATATTTTGCAGTAGAGCCCAGCGTTGCCCGGGGGTGTAACAGTAAGAGATAGATCAAGTATCGACCATCATAAAGACTGAAAAATAAAATTGACAAAGATTATTGTTTAAGGTTGACGGACATGCATGTCTTAATTAGTTTTTTTTTTTTTTGTTTCGTTTTTCTTTTTTTTTTTTACGAACTGGTCAAACTCAAACAAAAACATTGTTTTCAATCGTTATAAGTCTACCGAGTGAATAGAATTTTATTATAAACAATTGTCTTGTAAATGGAATTTTTAAAGCATTCTGAATGTAAAAATAAAGAAAAAAGTGTGCAAGACAATAAGAAACACTACCTGCCAAAAAAAAGTGAAGTTTTGTTGAAATCGGTTGAAAAATGTAGGAAATCCGATCCCATATATAAACGAACACACACACACAAACAACCTGGGTTTTATAATAAGTATGACTTGATATGAGTTGTTCCCCTTTCATTCTCGCGATGCCTCTTAATCGTGTTTTCAAATTGGTTTCGTGCAAAAACAATTGTGTTTTTTCCAATTTTTGGCGCTGTCAGAACCACCGCAAGGTAATTCTACGTAGTCCTGTGAGGTTTTGTTGAAATCGGTTGAAAAATGTAGGAAACCTGATCCAATATATAAACGTACAGACACACACACACACACACAACCTGGGTTTTTATAATAAGTATGATATATATTATGTGTGTGTAGGTGTTTATATATATATATATATATATATATATATATATATATATATATATATATATATATATGTGTTTGTAGGTGTTTATATATATATATAGTATGTGTGTGTAGGTGTTTATATATATATATATATATATATATATATATATATATATAGTATGTGTGTGTAAGTGTTTATATATATATATATATAGTATGTGTGTGTGTAGGTGTTTATATATATATATACATATATATGTAGTATGTTTATGTATGCGTTTATATATATATATATATATATATATAGTATGTTTATGTATGCGTTTATATATATATATATATATATATATATATATATATATATGTGTGTAGGTGTTTATATATATATATATATATATATATATATAGTATGTTTATGTATGCGCTTATATATATATATATATATATATATATATATATATATATATAGTATGTGTGTGTAGGTGTTTTTATATATATATATATATATATAGTGTGTGTATTTGTTTATATATATATATATATATATATATATATATATATATATATATATATACAGTAGCGTACCATAATATAAGGAACGGAAACAGAGACATAAATATATGTATTACTTAAAAAGTAATGCATGATTAGCAATTAAATTTTTACCGAATAAAGATTAGGGTGTAATGCATAAATATTATACAAAGTTACAAAAATTTACATAATAGTTTTTTTTTAAAATAAAGATTAAATGGAACAAAACGGTCCACCAGTGGTAACATTGCCGAAGCGAACACGTCGGCGGTCCGACAGCTAGCCACCAGCGGTAAACGCTAGTGGCATGCCACCTAGTGGCAGATTAGTGGCTTGTGTCTAGGGGTGTACTCGTAATTTACACTTTTGTAGGAATACAGTAGCACCTATGTTGATAAGTGGATAGATATTATAAATACATTTTTGTCTGTACTCGTTTGTATATCTATGTAAATACTAATGTATATATTTGTATATGTGAATATGTCATGATATTTGTGTGTACATTTGTATTATATTTGAAATTACATATTATTTGCATTTAAACTATAATTACATATTTGTATTTGGCGGTAGTCAAACAAGAAAATTAGCAATAGTTTTCTTAACTACCTTATCGACCACCAGATTAGACTATTTCTTTCTAAAGTAACTCATGATGATACTGAACATACGGTTAATATCATTACCATTAATATCTTCTACAAAAGCTAAATACGTGTCAACTATAAGCAAGACGAATTTTCT